CGCAGGAGGAAGGAGGTGCCCGGGCCTTCCGGGCATGTGCTCACCATGGCACCTACGAGAGCCAGGCGGCGACGCGGAGGTGCGCGCGCTCGCAGTGCTATCGCGCCCATGTGGTTGAGAAGGGCGGCTTCTCCCTCTGTGCGGCCCACGCAGCTCATCGGGCGGTGGGCCGGCGCAGCCGCTCGGCCGCGCCCCGCCAGGACGATGAGGCTCGAGTTCGGCGGTCAATCAGTAGGAGCCCAGAGAGGAGTGACGAGGACCGCGCGGCTCGCCGCCCTTCAGGGGCCTCGGGCCGCAAGGGCAGCCCCGCTAAGGCCGGGGCTGAGGCGGCCTGGCTGCTGCGCATGCGCGACCCCTCGGCGGATGCTGAGCACGAGTGGGACGCGTCCTACAGCTTCCCGGCGCGCTTTGTCGGCCCGACCAAGGGCTGCAGTGACGGCGACCCGCGGACGGACGTGGAGGCGGTCGGCTTGGGGCTGGTCTTCTCCATCCCGGACGGCGCCTTCTCAGCCCCAAGGCCGGAACTGCTCGGCGGGTTCGTGGGGGCCCAGCCGCCCGCCATCTGCTGGCGCTCGGGCGCAGCGCCGCGGCTCTCGGACCACGGCGGCGGCGCGAACTGTCGGGGTGATGTCCTGAGCCCGGCGTCAGCCATAGCGCTCAGCAAGGACCGCATTCGCCATCGCCTCGCCAAGCGGGCGCGCTCCAGGAGCCGCAGAACCACCCCGACGCGGCGCGAGGCGCAGTCGGACCTCGACGCGAGGCTGAGGAGGGCTCAGGCGCAGGATGAGGAGCAGAGGAGTCAGGATCCGAGGTCGTCGCTCATCTCGGCCAACCTCACCAAGCGCGCTGACGGACTCACGGACGGGGCGGCCAGAGGGGCCATCTCGGCCGAGAGCGGCACGGGTAGGCACGAGCTGCTCGCAGAGCTCATCGAGGCAGCCGACGCGATGCACGGAGGAAGCGTCAGCGAGGTGGGCGTCAGTCTTCTCAGAGGATGCTAGGATGTATGGAGCGAGGAGCTCGAGGGAGGCGAAGGGGCCAGTCCTCAAGTGGGATTGAGGGCCCCCCGCGCCACCGCCGGCCCACGCGCCCTACGACGGCCACGAGGCGTCCGCCGGCGGGCAGAGGGCGACGGCGCCGTCTTGGCCCGCGCGGGGCGGGCAGTCGGGCCCAGTGGCACCGCCGGGGCCGTCCCCGGCGGGACCTCCGCCGGGCCTGGGCTTTCTCGGCTTTGTCCAGAGGCCGCCCCCTCGGCAGGAGACGCAGGCCAGCTTCAACCCGAGCGCGTTCTACGGGGCGGGAGGGGCTAGCCCAACCACACCTTGGACCGCCAGGCCGCCCCAACAGCTCTCCTTCGTGGAGCGGGCCACGCGCCCGCGCGAATGGCGCGCGGGAGCTTCCTCGACGCCGCAGGAGGAGAGGGTCCTGGGTGCGCCGTCACTGGGGCCTGACGTCGGCATCGGGCTGCAGAACTTGGTGCGCGAGCTGGGGCGATCCAACAAGCACGCGGAGGAGTCTGGGGGCGCAGCCAAGGGCACCCTGGCCAGCATCGGGCGCGTGGAGGAGCAGCTCGCGTTCATGGCGAGGGGGTGCGACTTCTACGCGGTCACGCCGTGCCCGGGACGGCTGGGCAAGGGCGCGCTCCACGCGCTGAGGTCCGTGGGTCAGAACTCGAGGCCGCTCTTCCGGTCGATCAAGTTCCCCACGAACATCACCAACAACATCGCGCACGGCTTTGCGGCATTCCAGCAGGGCGGGCGCGATCGTATTCACTTGCCGGACTATTGCCTCAGCTGCGCTAATTTCCCGAAGACGACGGAGGCCGACATGGACAACTATGCACCGCCAAAGGACTACAAGCTTGAGGCACGGCCGAGGCACGCGTCTACTCCCCAGCACTGGTTCCAGGACGCCAAGCGGGAGGCATGGGCTCGGGCCTGCTTCTACGGCCAGGAGCACTACGACCAGCAGATCAAGGCCGCGGAGCACCTGCTCAGCCTTAACGACGAGGCAGAGTACGCATGGCCGCCCAACATCACCTTCGGCATATGGGCGGAGCTCCGAGGCCGCTGGTGCGAGGAGCTGCGCATGAAGGGGGCGCGCATGCTGGATCCCATGGACGACGAAAAACCCATCCTGGGGCCGCATCCGCTTCGCGCGCACGTCCCCCGCCAGCAGCGAGGACCCGGGGCCGTGGCTGCGGATGCCGCGCACCTACTTCCTCGATGAGCCCGACCAGTATTTCATTACGGACATCATGGTCAGGCACCACAACAAGCTCACGAGGTCGCAATGGAAGACAGCTTTCCGCTCCGATGCGGCGCCCGCCCCGCAGCCGATCCACCCCAGGCCGGGGCCCAAGGCGGGCATGGCGGGGGCTGGGGGGCCAGGGGCAGGAGGGGCAGCAGGAGGGGCAGCAGGAGGAGCGGCAGGAGGTCGAGGGGGCGCAGGCCTACTGGGGCATGCCCTTACTCGTAAGGAGTACGGTCGCAGCCTCGATCATCGTCCGAAGTCCCCCGCGAGTGGCCGCGTCGTCTGCTGGGGCAACTCCAGCTGGAAGGGCTGCCAGAACTCGTCGTGCCCGCACTCGCACAGGCCGATCGGTAAGGTAGGCTTGCTGGACCGCACCGTGCAGATGCAGCTGATCAAGAGGGGTGGCCCCAAGGGCGGCCCTAAGGTGGGCTCGCACGAGGAGGCGGACAAGAGGATCGCGGCTCTGCGGCAGGCGCATGACGCGGAGGAAGCCTCCAAGAGGGCAGGTGAGGCGGCGGCGGCGGGCGCTCAGGCCCCTTCTCAGGCGCCCGCAGCGGGCGCCAACGGGGGTGGCAAGAAGTGCGGCAGCATGGGCCACAGACATCACGATGGTCTAAGTGCTGTGCTGCCGTAGTGGCCTGCGGCTCGTGGCGTGTGGGCAGCTTGTGGCCGTTTAGGCCCTGGGCTGGGAGCGCAGGGGAGCGTCGAGGCTGGCAAGGCGGCAGAGGCAGCCTAGTGAGGGGCTATCAGAGGAGGGGGCACAGAGGTAGGTCTGCGGGCGAGGCGGGACGGACACCGCTGGAGGCCTTGAGAGGGGCGGCGGGGGAGGGGTAAGGAGGGACGAGCACCTCCGGAGACCCTGACGACAGCCTACCCTGAGCGCGTCAGATCCCGACCGCCCCATGGCGAAGTGCCGGGCAGTGAGGAGCGGATGTGCAGATGCAGGCGAGAGGTGGAATGTTTTGCGGCGGCGCAGCCGAGTGAGGAGCGGTCGAGCAGACGCAAGCGAGAGGTGGATGTTTTTGCGGCAGTACTACCAGGAGTGCTGGGTCGGAGTGGGGCCAGGTCCCCCCGCCAGTACGAGCGGGGGCCCTCGAGGTGGGCCCCGCGGCTCGAAGTGCAGCGTGCACCAGAGCACGGAGGGGGGTGACGGCCATCGCGCCCAGGAGGGCGCGATATGGCCGGAGCTCGCGCCTCGGAGGAGCGAGGCGCCTCAGGCCGCGTGAAAGAAGTGGCGTCTCCTCCTCCTCCGCCTCCATCGTCGTCTGCGTCGGCGTCTGAAGTGAGGTAAGAAGGAGGAGGAGGAGGAGGAGGAGGAGGAGGAGGAGAAGGCGGCCTGAGCGGTCCAGGCCTCGCGAGGCCCAAGAGCCGCGATCCGCCCGAGGCTGAGGGGCGGAGCTGCCGATGGGAAACATGAACGTTCGTTAGAACATAGGGTTTCCCAGCCTGGCGTAGCCCCCTCTCCCCTGTCCTGCCTCTGCCTCCATGCGTGTGCTCCTCCTCCGTCGCTTCTTGGCTTAAGGCCGCTCTAAGAGCGGCCCCAGCATCTCTTTTTGGAGGTCCCGCCCACCCACACCACAATAAAGCGGTGGGTGGAGCCTCCCGCCGAGTTTGCTCGGCCTGCGCTTGCCGCTTTGCGGTCGGCGCACGCATCGGCCCCACCCGACCGCGGAGGGTCTCTTTTCCCCCCCCTCCCTAGCGCTACAGTGTTCCAGGCGGGGGGGAGACGGCCATCGCGCCCAGGAGGGCGCGATAGGGCCAGAGCTCGCGCCTCGGAGGAGCGAGGCGCCTCAGGCCGCGTGAAAGAAGTGGCGCCTCCTCCTCCTCCTCCTCCTCCTCCTCCGCCTCCATCGTCGTCTGCGTCGGCATCTGAGGTGAGGTGAGAAGGAGGAGGAGGAGGAGGAGGAGGAGGAGGAGGAGGAGGAGGCGGAAGGCGGCCTGAGCGGTCCAGGCCTCGCGAGGCCCAAGAGCCGCGATCCGCCGGAGGCTTAGGGGCGGAGCTGCCGATGGGAAACGGAGGAGGAAGGCATCGCTACTCCCCGCTCCATCCTTCCTCCACTCCTCCCCTGCTCCCTCCCTCGTTCCATCCCTCCATCACTCCCTCCCAACATTCCCCCCCTCCCTCCCTTCTCCATTCCTCTCCAATCCCTCCTCCTTTATTCCTCACTTCTCTTCCCCTCCACGGTGTCCTGCGATGCCCAATGACATTCGCGTGCCATCTTCGGCCATATCGAGTCCTCCAGGGGCCATCTTATTTCGTGTCTCTATTTGGGCATCGCTGGGTCCTACCGGGCCGTTCGTGGGGCCAGCTGTACTGGAGTTTTGTCGGGCCAAACCCTGCTGGGCCATCCTTGGGCTACCTGGGGGTTGAACCTCCTCGCTGCAGGTGGCGCGCTGGTGTCGGTGGTGCCGCTTCTCCTTACGCTGACAACCCGGCTCTCTCAAATCACAGAGGTCTCGGGAGGGTGGGGGAGAGTACAGTGGAGGCCAGGCCACAAGAAACCTTCAACAAGAAACCCAATCCTGAGACCCAGGACGTCCATTTGGTGTGGGAACGTCACGCTTTCCACAGCAAAACCATCGAAACCCAAGACACCGAGGGCACCCTGAAGGCAAGCAGGGTGTTTCTTGTCATGGGCCCCCACTGCAGGAGGAGACCTGGGGGAGGGCTGGGGGAGGGCGAGGAGGCGGGCGGAGACCCCCCACCCCGCGGCCAGCCGCAGCAGCCGGGCCCGCAAGGCGGCTCGTCACAGCATCGCGGCGTAGTCCACGTACTCCTGGAGCGAGATCGTGCCCGAGTTGTCCTTGTCGCAGTCGACGAAGAAGGAGTACAACTCATCCAGCGCGATGCCGCCCTTGAAGTGGGCCCGGACCTCCTGGGCGTCCATGACGCCATCCCTGTTGAAGTCCTGGAGGGCAGCGATGAGGGGGGCCCGGCTCAGGGGGGGAAGCATCGACCTGGAATCTGCGACACATCACCGCTACATCGGCGATGTGCTGCCGACAGCGAGTCCGCACGTTCCTGGACCATCGAGCCCCTATTGGCGATCAGTGGGGGATTGGGGGTCGATGCGTCCCCCCCGGAGCCTCCACCCCCCTAACGTTGCCCCTGAAGTCCACGTCGACGAAGTCCTGCTTGTACTCCGTCATCTTCCCCTTCGTGACGGGCCTCGGCGTGCTGAGCTCCATGTCCTCCACTGGAGGGGGGGCGGGTCTGGGAGGGAGCCCGGGATGCGCGTGGCTCCACGATCTTCACAAGGAGCACCAACGATTTCGGAGCGCACCCCAGGAAGTCCTTCGTCCACGGACAGCTTACACTCTGGAGGCCCCAATCCCCCAGGCGACCTCCAAAATCCCTCATCCGTCTGCTCGCTCTTCCCAGTGTAGTGCCTGAGTTCTGCGTTCTTGTGTCTGCTGTTAATTGCCTCTCTAGGGCGTATCCTGGAGATGCCATGAAACGAAACCCCTCGAAGGTGGGCACCTTCATAGACCTGCTGAGAGGCAAGGGCAAGGAAGAGAGCCTAACATAATGGAGCGAAACACGGGCATATAAGAGGGAGAGAGAGAGATAACAATCTTCACACGATCGTCGTCGTTACCAACGCCGCCGGCACCGCCGTCCCCGTAACTGTCGGCGCCGCGTCGTCGGCGTCTGCGCCGTCGTCGCCTTCGTCGTCTTCGGCGTCATCGTCTGCGCCTTCCTCGCCCGCGCCGTCGCCGGGGTCACCCGCGCCCGACGCCGCCGCCGCCGCCAGCCTCGTCGGCGCCGCCGTGCGAGTCGCCGCCGGCAGGAGTCCTCGATGTGCTTCGGGATGGCGCCCATGGGCGACTGCCCCGCCACGGAGGCCAGCAGCAGCGCGCCCGCTGCGCCAAGCCGCCACGGCGTCATGTGGGCCCGCCGCCACCCCCCGCGCCCGCGGCCGGCCGGGCAGCGGCCGCGGCGAGGGCCGGCGGGCAGATCTCGAGCCGCCGGGGCGGGCCGCCGGGGCGAGGCCTCGTGGTGCTGGTGGCCTCCGAGCGCTGCCCCCGCCAGCCATCGACTCTCCTGAGTCGATGGGGGGGGCGAGGGTGGGTTCGGCTCTCGCCACAAGTAGGGGAACGAACAAGGAGGGGGATCCAGCGCCGATCCGAGAAATCCGCGCGAACCTCCGAGTTATGTCTATGTCATCCGTTGCCCTAACAGGTCTGACGGGTCCAGAGCTCTAGCACTGCCGCCCCTTGCCCGAGCCGTGGATCGGCGAGGGCAAGCTTCGGATTTCGCCGCCGCTTTCTCGGGTTGGGTAGAGGTCAGGTGCTCGTTCTGGGGGCCCGGCTCTCTCGCCCCCCTCGTGCGCCGATGCGATGCGTCGAACGTCCCTCGATCTTTGTCGAGCTGAAGTCGAGCTTGAGTTGTGGATGCCATGACAATGGTCTCCCCAACAATCCCATGATGTGTTAAACATGTCGGATACACGGTCTAAACATGTGTGTTTACTTGTTTGGACATCTGGAAATTATTTGGAAACATGCTTCCTCTCTACTGCTCGTCGTCCGCAAAAAGCTTGAGCCGACGCGGAGCTTGAGCTGTAGGCGGGCCCCAGGAAACCCCCTCCTCCTCCTCCTCCTCCTCCTCTCATCCCATCCTCCTCCTACCTCCTCCTCCTCCCCACCTCTACCTCCTATTACTCTCCTTCCTCATCCTTCCGCCACTCCTCCTCCTCCTCCTCCTCCTCCTCCCCCTCCCCCTCCCCCTCCTCCCCCACCCCCCAAAACACACACACACACACAACTCTAACGAAGGGGAGCGTATGGGGCGAGGACCACGCGACGGCGGGCGTGGCGCAGGTCGGTGGCGACGCCTCGTGGCACACGGGCGGTGCTGAGAGGAGGGGAGGCGGGCGCGATGATGCGTGCGGGCACGCCCGACGCGGGCTCTCCGCGAATCGGCCACGTGAGGCCGGGCTCTGAGGGCGCGCCTCAGGGGGCCAGGGCAGTCCTCGCGGAACCCCGCTCGTTCCCATCCTCCCCCCTCTCTCTCTCCCCAGCTCTCGGGCCTGGCCCTGAGGATGGAGGCTGGAGCATCGAATCTGTGTTCTGTTGCCCGCTTTGGGCCCCCAGACCCCCGGGGGCCTCCCGGAGCACCGTTGCCGCGCGTCGTTGGAAAGCGAGGTAAGGATGCGAGACCCTTTAGGCGTCCGAGCTGCAACCCGCCGCAAGAATATCTACCCGTGGGGCTGGCCAACGAAACGTGCCGAGGACGGGACGCGGAGGCAAGAATGCAAGGGCACCCAGGGGGCACAACTACTGTTGCTGTTACCAACCCTCCTGTGTGTTGGGTTCTCGTTGGGTTCCACCTCTTCTCTCCTCTCCCGCCTCCTCCCTCGTATACTGCCTCCTCATGCGCTGATCCCCGGGCGGCTGCGCACTGCGCGATTGTCGCCACTTTCGTCGGCTCCTGGGAGGTCCAGCGAGGTGGAGGCACACACGGACCCAGGCGGGACCTCGCGGCTCCCTGTGGGGCTGCGAACTGCGAAACCATCGCCACTTTCGTCGGCTCCTGAGGTCCAGGGGAAAAGTGGCACATGCGGACCCAGGCGGTACCTCGCTGCTCCTTGGGGTACTGCGACCTGCGCAACTGTCGCCACCTCTGTTGGCTCCTGGGAGGTCCAGCGGGGTGGAGGCACACGCGGACCCAGGCGGGACCTCGCAGCTCCCTTGGTGACTGCGCACTGCGAAACCGTCGCCACTTTCGTGGGCTCATGCGAAGTCCAGCGGAGTGGAGGCACACACGGACCCAGGCGGGACCTCGCTGCTCTGTTGGTGGCTCCGCACTGCGCAACTGTCGCGACTTTCGTCGGCTCCTGGGAGGTCCAGCGGAGTCGGGGGCCACGCGGACCCAGGCAGGACCTCACTGCTCCCTGGGTGGCTGCTTACAGCACAAATGTCCCCACGTCCGCCGGCTTCTGCTAGGCCCAGCAGAGCGGGATTGTAAGCAAACCCACACACAACCTCGCGGCTCCCAATTCGGGGCGAACGTAATGCGAATATATGAAGGTGTTCTTTTGAAAGGATCACTCCTTGTGGTAGTCGCCGCACATGGAAACATTGGAGATTACGCCTCGGGTCATGTGTTCATCATCATCCTCATCCTCATCAGCATGGCCATCAGAAGCAGCAGCAGAAGCAGCAGCATAACCGGCATCATCACCATCATCATCATCATCATCATCATCATCAGCAGCATCATCATCATCAACAGTATCATCATCAGCATAATCATCAGTAGCAGCAGGAGAAGCCCCAGCAACAGCAGAACCACCATCATCATCATCATCATCATCATCAGCAACATCAATCGCATCAGTATCAGCATCATCACCACCATCATCACCATCATCACCACAATCGTCATCATCATCATCATCATCATCATCATCATCATCATCATCATCGTCATGATGATGATCATCATCATCATCCGAATTAGCAGCAAAAAACATCCGCACCAGCATCACCATCACCATCATCGTTAGGAGCATCATGATCAGGGTTATCGTATCAGCATAATCGTCATCGTCATCGGTTGCATGATCATCGCCATCGTCGTGGTCATCGTCATCATCGTCACCTTCATTATCATGATCATCATCATCCTCATCAGCCGCAGCATCATCATCGTCACCATCATCACTACCTTCATCTTCGTCAGCACCAGCATCTGCAGCACAATGATCGACATCAACGTCGTGGCCATACTCATCATCACTTGCATCACCATCAGCATCGTCACCAATATCATCACCATCATCATCATCAACATCATCATCATCATCATCATCGTCACCAACACAATCATCATCATAATCATCATCATCGCCATCATCATCAGCATCGCCATCATCAGCATCACCACCATCACCATTATCACCAGCACCATGGTCGTTAGTATCATCATCCGTATCACCATCAGCATCAACATCATCGTCCTCATCACCATCAGTACCATACTCACCAGCATGAGCGTCATCATGCTCATCAACATTATCACCACCACCACCATCACCATCCCCATTCTCACCATCATCATCATCATCGTCATTATCATCATTACCATCGTCATCATAATCGTCATCGCCATCATCATCATGATTATAATTACGACCACCACTGCTATCATTCAGAGTCCTGTGTGTAAGCGGACACGGGAACCAATGCGCGCCGCTCTCGCTCAAATTCTACCGGTCTTGAGAACAAACATCTAGCGTGAAAGGAAGGCCATTACAACAAACAACAACGTGGGTTTTGAGCCATGTCCGTGCGGCAACCCCAGGCGGCTCTCGCCGACGTCACACTTTCCCCGTCGATCTGCAGAGGAGGGAGGTCGAAGACGGATGGTCGAGCAGCCGTTAAGGGAAAGGCTACGGAGGAGGCAGGGTGGAAAATGCAAGACTGGAGGCAGGGAGCAGGAAGCCAGAGAGGGACGGGGCAAAAGGCAGGATGGGCAGGAGGCAGCTGCTGGCGGAAAACAAGTGGGGAAGCGTGATGGCGGAGAGAACGCGAGGAAGCCGTGGAGGAGGAGGAGGACGAGGAGGTGGAGGAGGAGGAGGAGGAGGAGGAGGAGGAGGAGGAGGAGGAGGAGGGGAAGGAGGAGAACGAGAAGGGACCCGCCTCTTGGGCGCCTCTTGGAGGCCAGCTGGACGTGTCGGTCGCTGGGAGGCCTCTCTGGAGCTGGGGCGGCCCAGGCCCTCTCGGGGAGCCCCTTCCGGCTCGTGTAGGGGGGGCCCTCTGGGTGCGTCTTGGGCCCCCTCGCGGGGCCCCCTCTGGCCTCGCGAGGTCTCCGATGAGGCCGCAACCAAGATGGCCCAGGACGGCCCAAGAGGGCCCCACGGAGCCCCTAGGACTGCCCCGCAGGAGCCAAGGGCTGGCCCCAAGACGCCCCAAATGAGAAGGAAAGACGGAAGGTGTCACGAGCGACGGCTCTCCTGGTCTTCAACATCCTCCTGTTCTTCTACTCCTCTTCGTCATCACATTCATCATCATCATCATCATCATCATCATCATCAGCAGCAGCAGCATCATCATCATCATCATCATCATCATCATCATCATCATCATCATCATCATCATCATCATCATCATCATCATCATCATCATCAGCATCGTCAGCATCATCTTCATCTTCTTCATCATCATCATCATCATCATCATCA